CTTGGGAGCCAAAGGCAGGAACCCTGGTGTGATGTGCGGGTGAGTCACATAACAACCTGGCAGGTACTCAGGGCAAGTCAACAATGACTGCATTCAGCGGCTCAACAGAGAGCAGCTGCTGTGCAAAAGAAGCGCTGATGACAGTATCCCACTCATTAAGCCCGTCCCGCTCCCTCTCCTCCACAGAAATTATGTCAAATCTCAGTGCTGTAAAATAATCCCTCGGAGCGGCAGAAAGAGAGCCTGCCAGATGACTAACCCAAGCCACCAGCGACCCAACTGACAAGTTCAGAGCTATTTTTATACTCACTCTCTCCTGATTTGCATTAACTCTGTCCCTTCTTGCCCTCCCCTCACCTTCAAGGACCTTCAAGGTCTGCGGCGCAAACCCATCCCCGTCATCCCCCAAAACAGGGAATCCTGCAGGTCACCCCCTCTCAGTTTAGCCAAAAACACAGGGAGGGGAGCAGCGAAATTGCAAGTGCCCTCTGAAAGGGAGAAGAGTAACAAGGAAACATCGCTGAGGTTAAAGTCAACAAAGCACAGACCTCATTTGCCGACTGAAAAAAACAATAATAATAAATAAGAGGTAGCTATTGTAAGCAACGTCCTCTAACACAGCAGCTGCCAGGGCTCAGACAGTTTAATGTGTGACTCAGGTCTACAAGGCTGGGTAGGCACAGAAGCTGCGAGCCCAGCCCAGTTTAACTGTTGCCCTGCAATCCTCAGGTCCTTATACGGATCAAAACCCCAACTATCTGTGCGGTGCGTACGACAAAGCGCGGCTGGCAGAAGTTGTGTTTAAAAAAAGAAAATAAATAAACCGGGACTTTTAAATGCTTTTTGAAGCATGACTTCTCTTGAAGCAACGTATTCAGAACCGGACAGGCTCGACTCATCTCCGCGCTCTCGGTGGGGTGACAACGAGGCACAGAGCGTGCAGGAATTTGGATGCAGGCACTCGGGCTTTCAGGTGTTGGCCCCGTGGGGAAGCTCTCAATAAAAGGGAGCCTTGGGAACAGCAGATAGGTGCTGGAGGTTCCAGGGCAAGACCACTGAGAAGAGGATTTGCCCCCGTGAGCCAGGCTGGAGCTGCGGGTTCAGCTGCTGCTGGCTCACTGCAGCTCCGGGATAAGCACCGGGAAGAGCTTCAAGTCAGTGAGCGGGAGGGTGCTCGTTTCATACTCCTCTGGTTTTCAGAACCCTCCTCTCCTTCACCTAGCTCACCCAGATTCAACCCTCATTCTTGATTTCAATATCCCTGACTTTCTTCCTTCTGTAGGTGTGTGCATGGGCTCTTTATTTGCAAGGAAGAAAGGGGAAGTCGGGTAACAACGCAGTAGATAAAGCACTCCTAACCCACAATGGGCTTTTGCTAGCAGCATTAAAGACTACTCGTTCCTTATCTTCGCTAAGGTTTTACACTCACCTCTGGTTAACTAACGTTTGTTCTCACTGCCATAAAAAAGAAAGTGCGTTTTTACAGAACGAAAGCCAAACAGGGCACCAGTTGTGCTGCGGAGGCAGCTCCTCCCTCAAACAACATCTGTGCTCCTGTGAGAAACGAACAGACTGGATAAGGTCATCTGAGACTTGTAGGGAGCGAGAATTAAGGAGACGCTCAAACATTAGTAATGTAAGAGACAACCATGCGCTTTCGGCTCGTTTAAAACCTCCTCCCTCCACCCTTCTCTAAAGAAATCCCTCTTAAGCTCTTCCATCTCCACCGGAACCGATTTGGAGCAGGGACCTTAAACGACCCTTTCAGTGTTTCATGGAGTTACCACATATATAGGAAGAGAAACTCACAGGTGGAAAAAAAGCAATGCAACTACCTCTCCAGGGCTAAAACCCTCCGTGGCACAGCATAACGTGGGATCCTGCTTGGTCTGCATCAAATCTCCCTTGCCAATGGCTTTTTGGAGAACTTCAGTCAACATTCTGTGCAGCAGCCCATAGATTTAGTTAAAAAAAGACCTAGGAAAGAGCTTTTAAGTGACTTTGTAAGCCAGCTTCAAGGCACGCAGATTTCTCCTCCCGGTCTGACTGTGAACGTTCAGCAGCAGTTTCACATTGACATTTAGTTTGGAGAAAGAAAAATAAAAAAACAACCGAAAAAAAAATAATCATGTTGTCTCAGTGAGGTTTCCCACTTCCTTATTGAGAAGAGTTTTATGAACAATGCATTAACTTAGATTGGCCTTCTCTTTTGCAGCTGCCACTGGTTTATTAAAACAACACACCTAGCATTTTAGCAACGCTGCTTTGCTGAACAACAAGGCAACAGCTGGCAAGAGCCGGGGATTTATCCATCATGAGAAGAGGGAATGTCAACCCAGGGGAACACACACCTTTTGGGGACCTTCCAGTCCCAACAACTGTCAGCACGTACGTGAGGAAGCGCCAAGTCTGCAGCCAGAGAGCTACAAAATCATCATCCAGAGACATCAAACCTTGTCATAACACACGCATTTCACCAAAGGAATGAAAAAAATTACTATCATAAAAAAAGGTAACACTTTTTTTTTTTTTTTAAGAAGAATCACACTAAAGATCTGGCTTGGGAGCTGGTATCTAAAGGTTCAAGCCTTTCAAACCTCAGGCATCGCGTCCCTTTTTCCCTGCCTCCTCCCTGGATGCTATGGATGAGCTTCCCTGCTCGCCCACGTTTCAGATGGAACTGAAATTCAGCCGGTTCCTTTTTCAGCCCTGTCAGTTTAAGGCACATTACTGCAGCATGGGCCCGGGGTGGTTTATTTAAACAAGCTCGGCGCTGTCAGCAAGGAGAAGTTTCAATTCGTGTCAGACGGGACTTAAAAAAAAATAATAAAAAACCGTTGTGGCACTCAACACACCCTCCCAACCTTAAAACACACTTAATGCCACTTCAAGTTTTTAAGAAAAAAAAAGAGATACTTCCCTTGTGTACCTAAGAGTTCCAAAGTAAAAATAAATAGAATGCCTGACTGATTAAAATACTGGTGAGTCAGATCAGCAGTTGCTATTCCAGGATGCTCACAGCCTTCACCTCCTCTTCTTTAAGCCCCGGCC